CTTCAGCCATGCCCCATCTCCATGGGGCTCTATGGGGCTCTAGGTCCCGCCTCCCCCCATCCCTTTGGAAGTTGAGAACAGTGTTAACAACTTTGCCTCAAGTTTGTATAACTGGACAGGGAATTATGAAATGATGTCTCTCAATACTGTGGAGGTTTTTCATTGCTTGGGGTATGTGTTTTCCACACACACATTCCTTAGACACGCAATTTCTCCCTTCCTGAATATCAGTGTACTTCCAACAGTCTGGGGCCCACTTCTCATTGGGTGGGAGCAATGTCCCGAAATGGGCTTCTGTACAGAAACAAGCATTAATAACGGGAGGTGCTGGCTTTTTATCATTTTAATCATATGTACTTTAGGGGATTTGGGTGCAGAGTTCCAGGATGGGTTGGAGGGGGAACCCCACCGAGGACGGTCTCTGTGAAACTCCAAGGATGGAGGGTCTCCATTGGAGCTGCAAAAACAGGCGACCTTAGCTTGTCCTTTTGTGTTGGTTCTGTTTTATGTTGTGGGTGGAGGGGAATGTCTCTGGGAAAGGGGTATTGGAGGTGGGAGAGCTTTGGGCTTCAAATTCCAGAGTTTCTGTTAACTTGGAAAGTCATCCTTGCTTTTTAACAGGGTTGGGGGACTCCGGATGTTGTCAGATTTCCATCTGCTCTAACCACAGTGATGGATGCTGGGAATTGTAGTCTCGTCAACATCTGAACAGCTACAGATGTTAGCCTTCCATGAGGTCAGGCCAAAGGCCCATCATTACGATGGGAAGCAAGTGACATCTCCCCATCTGTTGGGAGCTGTGGATGTCAAATGGATGTACGTGTCAGGGGAGTTTGGTAGCCAGAATGAAGCTCAAACTCACTCAAGAGCAGGGTAGCGTTTTCTTAAACATTTGGCTAAGTTCCCTGCACTGCCTGCCTTCTTTTGTTTAAAGGAAGGGAAACACTCCCAGTAAATTGCAATTGCAGGTGGATCCTGCAAAAATCTCACAGTTGCATTTTGCTTCAGGGGTGTGATCCCACAGCCAGCTTCTGTTGGCCAGGATCTTGTGATCTTGTGTAGGGTGATACTTCCAAAGGATTTGTTCCATTCTGTTTTTAGGGCACAATCTGGGCAAGCTCCACTATGCAGGTAGCTAACCCTGCTCACCCACCAGAGATTCTTGGGGCTTCCCATCAGCCAGCATGACCAGTGGTCAAAGACAACAATGATGGGAGTTCCACTCCAGCAAAATCTGGAGGGCCACAGGTGTTATTCGGCACTTCTTTCATACATAAGAAATGCCCACGAACTAGACTTGTTGGTGTTCTTTGGGGAGGGGGCCTTGTCATGTGAGTGTGTCCCTTTGGCCTGAGTTCGTGGCCTGCTTAGTTCACCATCTCTGGGCACAAATCATCAGTTTGGGTGTCGTCATAGGGGACAGGTGTGTGGTGAACTGGACTGGCTCGTCAGATGGGCAGGGATTGCTCAAGGTCATGCTATGTTTTAATGTTCTTAGACGGCAAGTTGGGGAAAGTTTGGCCACTGTTTTTGTTGAAAGGGCTGTGTGTGTACAGATTCACTCTGATTCCTAAAAGACCAGCTGCTCTTCAAGAGTGCCTGTAACAGGTGTGCCACCTTGGAGCAGATGTATTTTCTCCAAATGAAAAAATAAAATAAAATAATATTGTTAATAGCTATAGGATTTGAGAAACTGCAAAATCTCCCCAAGCACTTGAGAGCTTCTCTTTCAGCTGGGGAAAAACCCAAAGCATTAAGTGTGGGGCACAAGATCTGTAGACAGGTTGGCAGTGCGGGGGGGGGGGGGCTTTTGCTCCTGTTAACATGGTGACTGGTGGGGCACTTCCTTCTGCACCATGAAGGGGGGCAGCCTGTGCCAACCTCCATGTTTCAGACTTCAAACACTTATTATCATCATCTCTGAAACTTGGCGACCTTGACTGAGAGCGGATGGGAGATGGCATCCCAACACCATCCAGAGGGTACCCGCCCCCACCCAGGCTGAGGGGGGTACCCTTCTCTATTTGGGTGTCATCAACCAGGACACAGTACCACCCTCCCACCCAAATACAACCCTGGGAATAATAATGGATTTTTGCTTAAAAGAAGGCACACACAGACTTTCCGAAGTTCTTTGTGTAAAGGGTGTCCTCAGCATGGACTTGAAGGGCCATCAGCAGGTCCTGATCCATGCTCAACCCTCTCTTCAGAGCAGGTGGGGCTTATCTCAGTTGCCCTCTTGTTCCACATATAAGGCAGGAATGCACTCAGGGAAAATAAGGGAAAATAAGCCCATAGGCCCTTGAGCAGAGCTGCCCCCTCACTCCAAGAACGGAAGGAGGCTTGAAACCCAAATTGCTTCTGGGGTGTGTTTGTATTACAAGACTTGTTCTAGTTTTACAAACATGTTTGCACAAAGGCAAGTTAGGCAAAAGCGTCCAGCCCAGGCAAAGTTTCTGTCTGGCCTGCTTTTTTGGCTCTCAGTTCCAAGTGATAATTTTGTTTCCAAGCCACAAATAGGAGGTGGCCATGGTCTCTCTCTTGCTTAGCGGCAGGTGAGCGGTGGAGTCTTCATCTCTGTGGTTGGGCATGGGCAGGGCAGTGTGGCACAGGGCACCCAGGTGCTGAAACTGCAAAACCCAGCAGATTCTCTGCAGCCTGCCTGCCTTTCAAAACAGCTGTGCCAGTTTCCACCAAGTTTGATTAATAACCCCACTCACGCTGGAGGAATAGGGAAAACTACTTCCACCTGCCTGCACCTTCCAGGTGTTGCTGGACTCTCAGCCCCCATCACCCTCTCTGGCTATGCCCATGGGACCAACGTCACTTCGGAGTTCAACTCTGATATTCCAGAGGGTGCCAAGTTGGGGAAGGCTGCAAGTAAGTCACACCCCGTGAAAGCATTTTTGGGTGGGAGGAAATAAAGGGCTGTATCCAGCATTAGTCCTAGACCAACTGAACAAACTTGATTTTCCATGGCTGTAGTTGGATAAAGCCTAGAGGTTTTCTCTGTTTCAAGTTAGGAGGTAAGATTAAAGACACAGGACCCCCCCCCCCAACTTGGGCAGCCGAGATGCTTTGGCACAGATGATGCAGTCCGCAAACTGGTACCCTTCAGATGCTGTTTGTTTCCCCAACTCCCATGAGCCCTTCCCAGACTCCCATGGCAAATGTTCTGCAGTGGTGATTGGAGTTGCTGTTGAACACCTGGAGGGTACCATGTTGATGAGCAGCTGATGTGGCCAAACCTTCATAGTCCATTCTGAGGGCTTTCTGGCCATGGGTCAGAGTGGTTTTATATCTTCCCCACTGTTTTTCCACGGAAAACCCACTCTATACTAGCTTCTATAGGAAATAACCATAAAGGTGTTGTCCTTTCCAGTAGCTCGATAACTTGTCCACACTATATAAACTACTTATACAGTCGTGCCTTGGTTGACGGAACGCCTTACGGCTCAAACATTTTGGCTCCCAAACACCGCAAACCCAGAAGTGAGTGTTCCGGTTTGCGAACGTTCTTTGGAACCCGAACGTCCGACGGGGCTTCCACGGCTTCCGATTGAGCGCAGGAAGCTCCTGCAGCCAATCGGAAGCCTCATGTTGGTTTTTGAACGTTTTCGGAAGTTGAACAGACTTCTGGAACAGATTCCATTCATCAACCAAGGTACAACTGTACCATGATTCAAAAGTCAAAGGAAACCAAATTGCTGTTTGCTGCATAAGGAGTGGGTTTTCCAGAGGGAAAGTAGCAAGACAAATCAAAGTGTGGGTCAGATCCATGTGTTTATATACAGGAAGTGGCCAGGGATGGGGGGGCTGCCACCCTCTGACCACTTGTGTTAGGAAGACAAGATTAGGGACTAGCTGCTTGTTCCAGGCCAAACTGTTCTACTTCCAGGCTAAATATATTTTTTCCAGTGATCATTATGGGGGGTGTTAATGGGGACCTCCTTGGACTGTGCAATCTGGGACACTGTGTTTGACCCTGGCTGCAGGACTGGGGCTGCGTTCATGCACAGATCCTCTACATGGGGGACAGGGAAAGAAATAAATGCCTCTAGCAATCAGTGACTGCATGCTGTTGGTGTTTGACATTTTGAGGGGGGGAAATGTGTGGTCTGATTTTTATAAAGCACAATTTATTTAAAGAGAAGTGTCTCTGATGTGGCGTGGTTCATTTTGCAGAAAGAGCTTCGCTGTTTGGGGCAGCGGGAAGAGGTCTCAAATGCTCCCTTGGTGTTTGCACAATTAGGCTGGATGTTCCCCACCCAGCAATGTATTTAATGGTTCGAGATGAAATGATTGGCCTTAAAACGGTATGACTTTGAAATTTCATACCAGGATTATCACAACAACTATCCAACAGAGCCTTATTCCACCTTCCCCCACCCCCAAAATTTGCAGATATATTGCCACTGAATGGGGAGGCTCTGTGAAGTTCTAAAATCCTCTACTCTCGGAGGCCTGTGTTTATTTATTTCATACAATTTATATACCACTTGATTGTGTAAGAAAACAAAAACAAACCTCAAAGCGGTTCACTAAAAAGGTAAAATAATAAAATTATCAAGACGAAAAATTAGCAACAATAATTTAAGTCTTTTGAAAAGTTGAAATAACAATAGATTAAAAAGAGACTAAAACTGGCACCTGTATAGCCTGTATAGGCTTGTCTAAACAATGTTTCAGAGGGCACCCATGGGGTGTCAATAGACAGGGAGTTCCAATGCAGGCACTCATTATCAAATATGAGTGGGTGTGTATACAGCCACTAAACTGAATTGGAAGCTCTATGGATTTCTTAAAATCATCTACTTGGAGCCCTGAATGTTGGTAACAGCCACCACCATTTCTGGCAGTAAATTCCCCCAGTACAGTTACTTGTCTTCTGAAGAGAGGTCACACCCAGTGACCCTATTTCTGCACATGGGTGCTATGCCACCCTCCTCTCCTGAAGCCCATTATTGCAACCTCTTCCCAAATAATAGCATTTAACTCTCTTTGTGTGTGTGTGTCTTTTATTGGAGAAAACAAAACAACTTATTTCCAAAAGGAAAAAAATAATAATATTGCATCAGGTCATTCATTACTGGTGTCAAGCCTTTGCACTTTTGCAGAAGAGTGAGTAAATTGTACCATTAAGTTCTCTCTAGGCAATTATTTTCAAAATAGGAAGGTTTTGAACACGCTTATGGTGGCAGAAGAAAAAGGGAGGCATGGCTCAGAGTTGGGTGGAACCTGCAGCTCTCCAGAACATAAGTATCATAGAGTTGAAAAGTTGGCTCCCAAGGATCATCTAATCCAATGCAGGAATCACAGTTAAGATGCCACTGGACTCTTGTGAGGATGCTGAACTAGATGGGCCACTGGCTTGATTATGTTGCTGGATGCTTAACTCCCATCAGCCAGCCACCCACCCCAGCTGGCATGGCTCAAGGGCTAGGAATGATGGGAGTTGTAGTCCCAAAGGTATCAGGTTTGGGCAGAGCTGCTTTAAGATAACACAGCCTTCATCCTCTCTTCTCCTTCCACCAACCAAAAAACAAACAAACCAGGTAGTTTACTGAGCTAAAAAGGCCAATGGTCTAACTTGGTATAAGACAGCTTCTTTTGTTGCTACTTGAGTCCTTTATACAAAACAATGAGGTCTAGAATCTTGCTTAATTTTCAAGGAAAGAACTGAAACCCTGGATAGCCGCTGCTGCCAGTATAGACAATACTGAGCCAGATGGACCAAGGGTCTGACTCAGTATAAGGCAGCTTCCTATGTACCACATTTGGGGATGAGGGTTGCAAGCTTCTCTATTACCAGAAGCTGCAGCTTGCTTAATTTTCAGGACGCCAATAAGAGTTCCTTTCTTGCTGGCATCCTGTGTTTCTTTATCGCCTGATGGCTTCACTTTGCTTCTTTAGTCCACAAAGTTATTCGCTGCTGTACAGATGCATATTTTGGTGACACGGAAGAGGCTAGGAGTCCTGCTCCATTTGAATCTTCTGTTGTCTTCCTTAACGTTCATTTTTGCAAGAACCTGCAAGGCAGAGAGAGAGAGGTGATCAAAGCCATCAAAATGATATTCCCATCTGTTTGAAATCCAACAAGATGTTGTCCCCCATCCCTGCCAGCTTTTATTGTATTATTATTATTATTATTATTATTATTATTATTATTATTATTATTATTATTATTATTATTCCCAGCCTACTTCCAGGATTCAAGGCAGCTAAATCAACACACAATTAAATCAATACACATAAAAATACAAAAAGCTACAAACGTATAGAAGATTATTGTTAAATAGGAATTAAACTCTTAATAGAACTAAAACAATATAAAAGCAGATATATTAAAAGACAAAATAATAAAAACACGAGTGGGGATTTGAACCCTAGTCTACCAGCTCCTAGTCCTCATTTAACCCCCACAACAACCCTATGAGGTAGGTTTGTTTCAGAGGCAGTGAATGGCTCCCAAGGTCACACCCAGTGAGCTTCAGCGCCAAGTTGGGGGGGATTCAAACCATGGTCTCTCCTTGATCCCTAGTCCGACACTCTTAACCACTGGCTCTCCCAGGTTGTATCACCTCAGAAGGGGTGTAATTATCAAGAAAAGACGTTGCCCTTCTTAATTTGCGCTCCTGTGTGTTTCCCATTTCCCAGCATATGTTGAAAGGGGAATAAACAGGGTTAATGAAAGGGAGGCTTGTGCAGTCTGCCGTCCCCCCACCAGCACACACTTTATTGCCACTTACAAATCTCCAGCCGCTCCTCCAGGAAAGAGATCTGCTCACTGAGAGAGTCGATTCTGTCCAGCTTCTGCAGAGAGTGCACCAGGAGGGCGATGGGGTCAGCAGGGGTCCCCTCCAACCCTGGTACCTCCACTTTGAGGAATGGCGCTAGCGTGAGCTGAAATTTCTACCCAGAGAAGTTTGGCAGGCCGGGGGTGGGGGGGGGAGAGTGGTGGAAGAGAAACAGGTAAACCTTTAGTGAGTAGGTGAGCAACAGGTATCTACCCACAAAGACCAGGTGTGACCCCAGCTGCCGCTTTTTATTAAAAAAAGAAGAGGAACCATTGCTGCCATGGTTAACTAAGGCATAACTACAGCAAGAAAGCCACCCATGGAGAGGTTTGTAACCAAGACCAGCCAACAAGCCACTCAAAACTCCCACACCACGAACCCTTCTCTCACCCACCCCAGCATCTGTTAAATGTAAGAACATGAGATGAGCCTGGCTGCCGGATAAGGCCAAAGGGGGTCCATCTAGTCCAGCATTCTGTCCTCACAGTGGCCTCACCAGCAGCCCTGATGGGAAAAAGTCCCCAATTGCAATAGCAATTCTCCCCGCCTGTGGTTTCCAGCAACTGGTACTTGCAGGTAGACTGCCCCTGGGCATGGATGTTCTACCATGACAATAGTAAATTACATGCTAAGGGCCAGGAGCCTGTTCCCCACCCTTGCAGAGGGACCCTCTTCCCAGCCACCAAGAACTAGCAAAGAAGACTCACTTCCTCCAGAGCGGCCATCCTGGTCTTCAGCTGCCGAACTTCATCCTCCACCATCAGGTTGGTGGTCCTAGCTGCACAGGTTTCACGGCAAAGAGGGAGAAAAATTGCAAGTAAAACGGTGGTTCCTTGAACAAAAGAAACTGAAGATTCAATCTATCAGTCTGGTATTCATAGCTGGACTGTCCCTGGGCATGGAAGTTCTGCGGTAACAGCAGATCTATGCAGAGTCCTCGTGGGTCTGGCCAAAGGGGGTTCATCTAGTCTAGCCACCTGTTCTCACAGTGGCCAACCAGGTGCCCAAAGCAGGACCTGAGCATGAGTGTGCTGCCCACCTGCAATTCCATCATCTGCACCGGAAGGGTTTCCATTGACCAGTCCCGCCCAGGCAGAAGGACATCTCTGTAGGCCACGGGTGGCAGCATGGGGTCGTTCCCACGGCACTGGGGGATGTCCTCTGCAGCACACCTGAGAATCTGAAGACGATGTGTGGGTCCTCTCACGTCCTTCTGGCGCAGGTGCCGGGCTTCCGCGCATTATTACTCACGGTACGAGTTTGAAGTGGCACAGCGCGTACCAAAAGTAATAATGGGCGGCAGTCAGCCTTGGCTCAGGGTGCTTCTCTTCTTCCAGGAGGCTAGAGGGCAATGGAGGCAAACAGACTATGGGGGAAGCAGTTCCTTCAGCCCACTGGAGCTCAGACTGGGCACTTAAGAGGAGTCATGGTATGCTCACACTCGGAGCCGACTGCTCTTGGCAAGGCCAAGGCCACGCATGGATGTTATGCAGAACAGGTAGGCAAAGGTGATGAAGAGCACATGAGCTGCCCCAAAGCACAACTTATGGATGACAGAAGCTGGTTTTCTGCTAGTTAACAGTGTGGTGCAGCAACAGCAGCAAAAAAAAAAAAGGTAGTGCAATTTGAATGCCTCTGATAACAAAGGGCAGAAAATGAGACGAGCCTGCTGGATCAGGCCAATGGCCCATCTAGTCCAGCATCCTGCTCTCACAGGGGCCAACCTGTCGCCCCAATGGGAAGCCCACAAGCAGGATCAGAGCACAAACACTGGTGTGAATGGATCGATGTCCTCCAAAGGCCTGGGTGATATCCAGTGAAGCTTGAATGTTGGAAGATTCAAGATAAAAAGAAGGACTTCATCATGCAGCACAGAGTTAAGCTAGGGAACTCACTGCCACAAGAGGAAGCGGTGGCCCATCCAGTCCAGAATCTTGCTCTCCTGGGGCTTTTCTACACTTCCCCTTGTCCCACCGCTTTCCCCTGGGGAAATGCACTGTTTACTGCTGAATCGGAACCAATGCCAATTAGTTTTTTCTGCAGTTTGACTTTGTTCCAATTCAGTGGCAAACAGAAGTTTTCCCTGGGGGGAAAGCAGCAGGGCAAATAAAAAATCCCACTCAGACCCATGCTTTCTAGGCACAGGACAAGTGGAAGTGTGGACAAACCCACAATGGTCACCCGGAGGTGCCTATGGGAAGAAGGCCCCAAACAGGACCTGAGCACAATAGCAACTTTCCCCTCCTGTGACTTCCAGCAACTGGGATTCAAAAGCACTACTGCCTCTGACCATGAGGGCAGAGATTAGCCAACCTGGCTAGCAGCGACTGACAGTCCTCTCATCCGTGAAATTAGTTTAATCCTTATTCAAAGCCATCTGAGTTGATGGCTGTCTCCTGCAGAAGTGAGTTCCACAGTTTAACTTATGCACTATTTAGAATAATAATGGCTGAAATGCAAGGCAAAGCTACAAGGCCACCCCAAGAGTTCGCCTGGTCTACGTTGGCCTTACCTGGGCTCACAGCATCCGTGGGCACCCCCAGAGCCTCACAGGTCCTTCCATCCACACCAAGTTCGTAACCTTGCTGGCAGGTGCAGCGGTAACTCCCAACCACGTTGTGACAGGTGTGGCTGCACCCGTGTCTCCCTCCAGCACATTCGTCCACATCTGAAACCACGAAAGGAATTGTGTCCTAAAGGATGGGTCTTAGTCCAGCCACAAGACCAAAATCACAAAGCCCCAAACTATATACCGCTTGATTGCGGGGGTTGTACTAAATGACCCTTGGGGTCCCTTCCAACCCTACAATTATCCGGTGCTACGATCTCAGCCAGCTTCCCTTGCACGTAGCTGTTTTCACCACCATCAGAGCAGATACAAGTATGTTTCTCATTGCAATCATAGAATGATTTTAGTTGCAAACTGTTTTTATAAGCTTCTAACTGGGGATGAAGGGCCAGGCTTATTCAATAAATAAACAAATTCAATCCTTTTTTTAAAAAAACTGCTTTTGTTTTCTTTTTTTGCAAGGGAAGTTGAGATTCTGACCACCAGAGACCTGCACCCGCAAATTCATTCTGAGCACCCATGGAAGACAGCCCTGATGTATTTGGATAGACAGATAGAAAGGGAGAGGAAATGGTTAGAAAGGTCCTCAAGGACCAATTGGGGGGGGCAGGAAGTGGCCTTTACCTTTCTGGCAACTCTTTCCGCTCCATCCTGAAGGGCAAGAACACTTGTTAGGGGACAGACACTTCCCACCATTCTGGCAAGGGGGGCGGCAGATTGCTGGAAGAGAAGGCCATGGTTAAAACAGGGGTGTGTGGCAAGGAAGAGCCTTAAACGTGGCCCAGGAAAATGTTTCTGCTTTCAAACTGTGTGTGTTGCTTCTCAAAAATCAATTCGTAATAGGTAAAAGGCCACAGTGGTCTGTGGAACAGACTCCCGTGGGAGGTTGTGGACTCTCCTTCACTTGAAGTTTTTAATCAGAGGTCTCTCAGGGAAGCTGTAGATGTGATTCCTGCCTTGCAGGGGGTTGGACTAGACGACCCTTGGGGTTCCTTCGAACCCTACAGTTCTATGATTCTATGAACACTGGACCTAAGAATGACCATGGTTCAACCCCACCACCACCACAACTTGGCCCTGAAGCGCAGTGGGTGTAACACAAGGAGGCAGTCACTGCCTCTCTGCCTGACCTACCTCACAGGGTTGTTGTGGGGATTAAACAGGGAGGGAGAGAACCATGCAGGCCACCTTGAGCTCCTTGGGAGTAAAAAGGTGGGGTTTAAGTGCAACAAATAAACAGATACTGGCAAATAGTGGTGTCCCCACTGCTCACTTGCAGCCCTAGCAAATGGGCATGCATTCTTTATATACAAATCAGCATACATAATTTCACCTGACTAAATGAACCTCCTAAATGGTTCTTTTTTCTGGGTTCAGAGCCCAACACCCCAAACCCCACAGATAAGTTTAACATCAAAGCAAGCTAATTAGCTTATATCAAAGCAACTGAATATAAACATATATAAGCTCATTGCTGCATCCACTACCAATTAATTGTGGGGTTATCTTAACTCCCAAGATGGTATTGTCCCTTGCATAGGGAAGATGGAGAAATGCTGCTGGGTGACTGAGAGAAGGCAGAACTGTTCAACCCCTACTTTGCCTCTGTCTTCACCCAAAAGTAAAGCAGTGTCCCACCTAGCGATAACAGAATAGAAGGTGCAACGAGGGTGCTGCAGCCTAAGATAGGAGAAATGGTGATAAAGGAACACCTAGTTAATTTAAATGAATTCAAATCTCGACATCCTGATGAGCTAAACTCAAGGGTACTAAACAGGTTGCAGATGTAATCTCAGAGCCTCAGATGATTCCTCGTCATCCTGGGGAAAAGTGACAAGAGGAATGCCACAGGGTTCTGTTCTGGGCCCGTTGCTGTTAAACATCTTTATGGATGACTAGGTGCAGATGGCAAACTGGGGAGGGGTAGCTAATACCGCAGAAGACAGAATTGGAATTCAAGATGACCTCGACAGATCAGAGAACTGGTCCAAAACTAACAAAATGAATTTCAATAGGGACAAATGTAAGGTTCTACACTTTGGCAGGAAGAACTAGCGGCATAAATATAAAATGGGGGACACCTAGCTTGCCAGTAGTACATATGAAAACTATCTAGGGGAATTAGTGGACCACAAGCTTCATGTGAGTCAACAGTGTGATGCAGCAACAAAAAGACCTAATGCAATTCTAGGCTGCACCCACAAAGTCTAGTATCCTGATCAAGGGAAGTCATAGTTCCACTCTATTCTGCCTAGGTCAGACACCACCAGGAGTCCTGCGTCCCGTTCTGGGTGCCACAATTCAAGGATATGAACAAGTTGGAACATGGGCAGAGGAGGGAGACCAAGATGATCAAGGGTCTGGAAACCAGGTCTGATGAGGACTAGTTGAGGGAGATGGGTATGTTTAGTCTGGATAAGAGACTAAGAGGAGATATGATAACCATCTTCAAATAACTAAAAGGGTGTCCCATAGAAGATGGAGCAAGCTTGTTTTCTCCTGACCTGGAGGGTAGGACCCGAACCAATGGCTTCAAGTTACAAGCAAGGAGATTCCAACTAACATCAGGAAGAACTTTCAGTAAGAACTGTTTCACAGTGAAACAGACTCTCTCAGAAGGCGGTGGACTCTTCTTTGTTGGATGTTTTCAAGCATACGCCTGTCACATTTGACCTCGCTGAGATTCCTGCATTGCAGGGGGTTGAACTTTGGGTGCCTTTCCAACTATACAATTCTATGAGTATATGGTTCTATGATTCTATGCTTGGGAAACCAAGTGAAGAATGAATGAATGAATGAATGAGAGGCTTACCTATACTGCATCCATGCCCAGGGGCACTATTTGCCCGTCTCCACCCAGGACAGCAGGCATATGTTGGATAGGACTGCTTCCGATAGGCTAGGCGCTGGGCAGTTTTGTAGATGGTTCTGCAAATAACGCCAAAACACACAAGATTTAGTATTCAGAGCCTGCAAGGCTTTTGAAAAAAAGAAATGGCTATTTTTACCATTTCCACGAGAAAAAGGAAACAAAAGCGTTCAAAAGAAAGTAAGACGAACATCTGGATGGCCAGAAGAGGCCCATCCAGCCCAGCATCTTATCCTCACAGTGGCCAACCAGATGCCTCATTGAGAAGCCCCCAAGCATGATTTGAGCACAGGAGCCCTCTCCCCCTCCAGCAGTTGCACGTAAATGGTATTCAAAAGCACTGCAGCCGCCAACTGCAGAGGCAGGAAGAGAGTCCCACAGTTTAGCTATGTGCCGACTGAATTAAGTCCTTCCTTTTATCTGCTCTGAATCTTCCAGCATTCAACTTCATTGGATCTCTGCCATTTCCAGTGTTACTTAGAAAGGCAGTAAAACTTTTTTCTTCTTCTATCCATTTTTTCCCCATGCTGTGCTTAATTTGATAAAACTTCCACCTCTTATTTGCCTTTTTTTAAAAAAATCAGGGTTTCCCAAACTTGAGTCTCATGTTGCTTCTGGACTACAGTTTCCATCATCCTTGACCACTGCTCCTGCTAGCTAGGGATGATGGGAGTTGTAGTCCAAAAAAAACAACAACATCTGTAGACCAAAGTTTGGGAAACCTTTGCCTACACTAAAAAGGCTGAGGATTACTCCATACCTGTACATACTGCAGAGCCTGTATCCCTGGCACAAGGTGAGGTAAGGCTGGTACATAGGTTGGGCATGGGACACGAGGTAGGACACCACCTGGCTCTTCAGCCCCATGGAACACACTCTGGGCCTGCAATGGAGAATCCAAATACAGACCCCCACATCAGGTTTACAGCAGCACAATACGAGCCCCGCAACACGTGCCACATCCTGTCCGTTTTGCACTTGCAAGGATCCCTCCTCCAGTGAGGAAGAAATTTGATTTGAGCCAGGGGCCTGTTTTTGGCCTAGCTGTGAAAAACGTCCTCCCCAGGCATGCAAAAGCTGATGTGTATTTTAATATGCAAACTTGTTTTCAACGTCCGATTTCGCTGGTAGTTTTAGTGCGTTTTTTTGTATTTTATGTAACCCACTTAAATGTTTTGATGATTATGCAGTATATAAATCCAGTTAAATAGTTGCATATGTCAGAATCTGATATCTGGCCTCCTACGCACGCATTTACACACACATGTACATATTTTTAAATTACTTGTGGAGCCTTCCTTAGAAAGGAAAGGAAAAAGGAGAGCCAGTGAAATCAAGTAGAAAGCAACACAATATCCCAGCCTTCTTGCAACCTACTAGGCAGTGTGGTGCAGTGGTTAGAGTGTCGGATTAGGATCTGGGAGATCAGAGTTCAAATTCCCATTTGGCCATGACGTTCCAAGCAAAACAGCCTTGGAAATGGGGCCCTGAAGAGAAAGGACACTTACCCTGGTCTAGAGGAACACTCAGCATTGATCACAGCAAGGATGAAAAGGACCAATGCCAGAAGGCAGCTGATCCTCCTCATTTCCTATCCTCTGCTGGGCCTTTTCTCCCCCACCCCTCCAGTGTAGCATATACAGGTATGGGTGGGGGGTGTTTCACAGCAAGGGGCTCTTCAGTGCACACACCTGGAAACAAAAAGAGAGAGAGAGAGATGAAGGAATTTGACAGCACTTTGCACGCATGCAGGAGACTACAGCTGAAATGAACAGGGGTTGTGTGTGTGTGTGTGTGTGTTTGTGTGTGTGTGTGTGTGAGAGAGAGAGAGAGAGAGAGAGAGAGAGAGAGAGAGGGAGAGAATATGTCACACTTGCAATCCCAGCCTCTGAAAGGGAAAGTAGTACGACTCATGCAACACGTTGGCGATTAATATACACAGAGCAACAATTATACATACTTTATCAACCTTCTGAGAAAAATACAAAACATTAAACAAAGCCACAGAGACTTGCGAACTACCCAGCCTAAAATGAACTTATAATGTCTGGTTTCAATAGATTTTTCAAATGCTTAACTCAGTCTTTTGGATAAGTTCATGAAGATACCAACAAAAGGTAAGTTCGGTGTTATTCACAATACTGAGAGATACTAGTGGGGTTGTAGATAGATGTTAATAAAGTTGTAGACAATGAAGTTGTAGACAAAAGGGAAAGGGCAGGTAAGAAGTAAAAAAAGATGCACCTGTCTGTGGGTTTTCAGGGACTCAGTTAAAAACAATGAAAGTCAAATAATTGAGCACCTATTTAAATCACCAGAGCCAGCAAGAGGTGACACAGAATCACAGAACTGTAAAGTTGGAAGGGACCCCATGAGTCATCTAGTACAACCTCCTGCCATGCAGGGATCCCAGCATTTGTAATAAACATGACATGATAATAATAAAAAATAAAACGAATGACAAACTACATGGCAAGTAAAAGGTGGATCGGGGGGGGGGGAGAGACTCCCTTTTTCTCCCTTTCCCATAACACTAGAACTTGTGGACATCCAATGAAGTTGACTGTTGGAAGGTTCAGGACAGATAGTTAAACTATGGAACTCCCTCCCACAGGAGACAATAATAGCCACTGACCTGGACGGCTTTTAAAAAGGGATTTGACAAATTCATAGAGGACAAATACATATTGAAGGCTACTACCACAATGGCCAGGCTCTGCCTTAACAGAGGCAGCGATGCTTCTGAATCCTAGTTGCTGCAAGAGAGGGGAGAGGGCTCTTGTGCTCAAACCCCACTTGCTGGTTTCCCTTTTGAACACCTAGGGAGCCACTGTGTAGAACAGAGTACAGTGGTACCTCAGTACCTCGGTTTAAGAACTTAATTCGTTCCCGAGGTCCATTCTTAACCTGAAACTGTTCTTAACCTGAGGTACCACTTTAGCTTATGGGGCCTCCCGCTGCTGCCGCGCCACTGTTGCGCGATTACTGTTCTCATCCTGAAGCAAAGTTCTTAACCCGAGGTACTATTTCTGGGTTAGCGGAGTCTGTAACCTCAAGCGTCTGTAACCCGAGGTACCACTGTACTAGATTGGAACCAGCAGGCTCTGCTTATGTTCTTAATTATCTGACAAGGCAGCTTCTTCTTATGTCCCAAGGGGAACTGTCCCATCAGGGCCAGACCTCAACACTTTTAGGGAAAAGTTTAGCAACCCACAAACAGAGCTGATCGTTCAGTCATGAGCACTATCGTGCTTGCATCCTGCTCACTGTGGGTTTTCCGAGGGGCATCTGCCCGACAACCAGACGCAGGATGAGGCAGGCTCTGGGTCCAATCCAGCAGCCAGACTCCTCTTAATGTAGAGCACGGGGATTTTTGATCAGCACCTGAGAAAATCTGCAGGAAACTGTTCTGCAGAGTAATTTACACTCCTACATATAAAGCATTATTATTAACTTGGGGAGAACCATGGGAGACAAAATATTCCTTAATGGAGTGGTGATGATAGATAGATGATAGATGATGATAGATGATAGATAGATAGATGATAGATAGATAGATAGATAGATAGATAGATAGATAGATAGATGATAGATAGATGACAGATGAATTATATGAAATGCGTGAAAGTTTCACCCCCAGCCATCAGAATTCTCCAGCTTTGTAAAGGAAGAAGCACTAACCCACCCCACCCCAGGCAAATGAAGAGATTTGAACATGGAAATAAACTTTAACTGAAAGATAGACATGCTGAATGCTTTTTAGAAACCAGGTGGCTGAAAAGACTTTTGGCATCTCACATTTGCCACTGTCACTGATCTCCTGGCTTTGCCCCTAACCGCTGCTGCAGCTGTGGTCGTGCCTCTGGTCCAGAAGTTCAAACCCTGATTTCTGGACATCTGGCTAACTGGACATCTGGTTAGGAAAGCTGGACCCGGGAACAGCTGCCAGACCAGTTGCCATCACCATAGAAAGCAGGGGGAAACTCGAGGTTCTTCAAATAACGGGGTGTCCCTATAGCACCCTGCTCCACCCAATGCATTTGGTGAGAATTTCTGATCAAAATATGCCCACGAGGAATTACTTAAAGGCCACACTTGATTAAAACATGCAAAATGCATTTAACACACGTTTAAAACACACCCATGAATCCTGGAAACTGTGGTTTGTTAAGGGTGCTGGGAATTGCAGCTCTGTGAGGTGAAAACTCCAGAGTGCCCAGGGTTTCTGAGGGGAAACCATGTGCTTTAAATGAATGGTGTAAATGTGACCCTGCACCAGAAAGGGAGAACATGAAGCGACTGATTCAAACTACAAAAAAGGAGGTTCTGACTAAACATACTAAAAATTCCAGCTAAAACTTTCTAAAAGTAAGAGCTGTGAGACAGTGAGACAGTCTCCTTTGGGAGGTGGTGGACTCTCCTTCCTTGGAGGTTTTAAAGCAGAGGTTGGACAGCCATCTGTCCTGAGATTCTTGCATTTGGAGGAGGTTGGACTAGATGACCCTTAGGGTCCCTTCCATCTCTACAATTCTGAGTAGCACACAGCATCTTGGGAAATGTCAAATATCCAAGCCAGCCCCCCTTGGGGTCTGGACATTACTAAACATTCATAATGCATAGTTGGCGGTTAAGAGCCAGGAATTAGCAGCGGCTCATTGGAGATGTAAAAATCTCTTCCAATTCATGCCGAAACTGTGTTAACTCTCACACAACTCCCTTATGTGCATTCCAGGTCCCGTTCCTCCACTCCAAAACAATAAATAAATCCCAGAACACCATCAACTGTGCAGTCATGAAATTATGCTTGCAGGAAGATAAATTCCAGCAGTCAGCCCGACTCAGATCTAAATACATTCCCACAACATTCCTCTCCATCAGCGCCAACTAACTAAATGAGAATGATGCCAGATAATGGGAAACATTCACAAATATCTCCATGTTATGAAGGGACAGTGCTGGTTTCTGAAAATTTGTAAGCAATGTCAATGCAGCACAGCAGCTGTGGTTCTTGAACTACAGGGGGTTGGACTAGATGGCCCTTGGGGGTCCCTTACAACTCTACAATTCTATGACTCTATAGCAAATAGGGCACACTGTGGCTTAACTGCAATCCTAGGTTTCACTTAAAACCAACCCGTTCCTCATATAGGTTGCAATCAACAGGGAGATGCTTGAGAGCGCCACTGCAGAGCTTATGTCCTGTGTTCCAGTCCTACCTGATCTCCAGGTAAGGCTCCCAGCAGCCAGCACCACCCACGGTGAGGAAGGACCTTTGAACCACCAGCTCTGCTCCTGTGCTGCTAAACATTTTCCTAAAGGTGTTGAAGTCTGGCGCTGATGGGACAGTTCCCCTTGGGATCTGCTGTTTCAAATGGGTTTTCCATTATTTTATTGCCCATTGAGTGAACACTGCTTTTGACCAAGTTCTGGAAAACCCACAGACAGGTGCCTCTTTTTACCTGTGATCTGCCCTTTTCCTTCAGAGGCTGAGATTCAAAGTGTGATTCTCAACACACACACACACACACACACACAAAACCAGTTCATTCCAGCTGCTCAACTTTGTGCTGGAGAATTATCTCCAGTCTCCTACACGCCTGCAAAGTGCTTCCAAATTCGTTCAGCTCACTTGAACAGGACGGACACCTAGGAGCAGCGGGAATCTCTCAGTTAAATCACTGAAGCTGATAATTAGACAATTTCATGGAGCAGTAAGAGGCTATCAAAGGCTACAAACCACAGTGACTATGATCTGCCTCCACAGTCAGAGCCAGCAAAGTGAAATCACAGAATCATAGAATTGCGGAGTTGGGAGGGACCCCAAGGGTCATATAGTCCAACACCCTGCAATACAGGAATCTTACCTAAATCATCCATGACAGATGGCCATCCAACCTCTGCTTAAAGGTAAAGGTAAAGGGACCCCTGACCATTAGGTCCAGTCATGACCGACTCTGGGGTTGCAGCGCTCATCTCGCTTTATTGGCCGAGGGGAGCCGGCGTTTGTCCGCAGACAGCTTCCGGGTCGTGTGGCCAGCATGACTAAGCTGCTTCTGGCAAACCAGAGCAGCACATGGAAACGCCGTTTACCTTCCTGCCAGAGTGGTACCTATTTATCTACTTGCACTTTGATGGGCTTTCGAACTGCTAGGTTGGCAGGAGCAGGGACCGAGCAACGGGAGCTTACCCCGTCACAGGGATTCGAACCGCCGACCTTCTGATCGGCAAGTCCTAGGCTCTGTGGTTTAACCCACAGCGCAACCCGCATCCCTAATCTCTGCTTAAAAATCTCCAATGAAGTCCACAACCTCCAAAGTGAGACCATTCCGCTGTAGAACATCTCTTAGAACAGCTCTTGCCTTTAGAAAGTTCTTCCTCGTTTCTTGTAACTTGAAACTGTTGGTTCAAGTCCTACCCTTCAGAGCCGGGGAAAACAAGCTCACTCCATCTTCCATGTGACAGCCCTTTAGAGATTTGAAGATAGCTATCATATCTCCACTCGGTATCCTCTTTTCCAGACTAAGCATGCCCAACTCCCTCAACGGTTCAAGGGATCACATCCCTTCTCCTCCACAACCAATTTGATCTTACTAGCTCTCAACATCAGGCCTTCCTCGCAGGACCATTGTGAGGTCAAAGCAGCATTTTAAAAAAGCATGTTTGGTTTAAAGTTTTAAATACATTTTTAAAACTGATAATCTCGTTGTTTTATTCTTTTCATAAACCACTTTGAGGTTGCTGTTCCTTTGCAATGCATATACATATACATATTATTAAATAAGGAATAGATAAAGATTGGGTTTGAAAAACATTGTTGGTCAAAACAGGTTGCATGAGCTATCTAAAATATCCTGTGCATTATTTTTTTTAAAACACGCGTAAATACTTTTCTTTATGCATTTGCTAAAAAATGAAGTTTTTCTATGTTAACGGCAAGTTAAACTTTTTTACCACCACTAGGTGGGGAGGTCGTCTAATTGTCATACATATACAATATATAAATTTAAAGAGCTTTACACTTTGTGTAAAAGGAGTCTTCTGTGCAACGGGGTGGGTAGAGAAATAACTATTGTTCAAGCAACAGAAGCGAAGGAGATTCTCTCCGGGGGCGGGTTTGGAACCCATTCACAACCCGCCCCCCCGGTTCAGTCCTATTGTTTAAGCAACAACTCCTGCAACAAATCTGTGCAGGAGATTCTCCTAAATTCTGCTGCCTTATCTGCCCTCTTCTCCACCTCTGCAAATTCTGCTTCCCGCGCCACCGAGAGGGACCCTTCGCCGCCCGCTGCAAAATGTTTTGCAAAAGTTGCATTGCACGAGCGAACGAGGCTCAAACAAACAACAGGCACCCACCGCCCCAAACTCCCTCCCTCTTTACTAAAAAATCTTGCATTAGCAAAAAGAAAAAAAGAAACCGGATTTTGGGATCACACACACACACAAAACACCACACAGGTCCCTCTTTCTCCTCCCAAATCCAGCAGCTGATTTAAGTCTCGCTTTGCCTCAACCAAAGCGTGCAAATAAGAGAGAAAAATGGGGGGGGCAACATTAAAAGCCCCCAGCAACGGTCCTTGCAGGCGCTTTTCCGCTTTCCAAAAAATAAATAAATGCTACTCACTTTTCCTGCAGAGGCGCTTTTGCAAACCGGCCGCTTCCTTCCCACCCCCCGAAGAAACCAAATCTCCTTGCCACCCCGCTTCCTTCTCCTCCTTTTCTTCCCGTTTTTTTTTTAAAGTAATATCCAGAATTGCTTTTTAACACACACACAGCATGTCTACCTCGCCTTTGCTCGCTTCTGTCTCTCAGCCAGTCCACTGATCTCAAGGAAAGGATTATCAAGAAAAGATTTGAGCTCTGCACCATCCTTGGACGGGGCGTAGGGGGGAACCGTCCACTTTTTTGCAAAGAGGTTGCAGATTGCAAGAAGAAAGGAAGGAATTCTTTCTGCACTGTTCTCTCCCTCCTCCCCCCATTAAAGATAAGAAACTTGCCTTCAGAAAACTGTCCCAAGAGGACAGTGCCTCCTCCTTCTCCATAAACCGCCTGAACACGTGTTTGTGTTTTTGAACCCCGGGGTTAAAAAAAAAAATGAACAGGGAGGTTACTTCTTCAGGAATCAAGAGAACCAGAAACTGAGGTCTGGGTAACAGCAGGTGAGAAAGCTAGTGAAACTGGTCCTGAGTTGCTATCTACAGCCAAATCCTGTCCACTCCCCCCCCCATAAGCTCTTCCTTGTTACAATGGGACTTACTCCCCAAGGGAAAGCTAGAACGTTAGGGCTGAGAGCCTACAACGTGTGAACAAGGTACAGTGGTACCTTGGGTTAAGAACTTAATTAACAAAAATCCATTTTGCATTACTTTGGTTTTGGAATGCTTTGGTTTTGGAACAGATGTCCAGAACGGATTAAGTTTGAGAACCAAGGTACCACTGTAAACAAAACAAAAATTTAAAAGGTATCCATTACTACAGTGGTACCTCGGGTTAAGTACTTAATTCGTTCCAGAGGTCTGTTCTTAACCTGAAACCGTTTTTAACCTGGAGCACCACTTTAGCTAATGGGGCCTCCTACTGCTGCCACGCCGCCGGAACACGATTTCTGTTCTCATCCTGAAGCAAAGTTCTTAACCCGAGGTACTATTTCTGGGTTAGCGGACTCTGTAGCCTGAAGCGTATGTAACCTGAAGCGTATGTATCTTGAGGTACCACTGTATCAGGTTTGGGCCTTCAGTTGGACATCTGGGAATGGGGTGCAGTTTTGCAGAACATCTTATTTCCCCTTGTTTATGAACAAAGCCCTACTCAAACTTGACCCCATGAAATAAATGGACCTGCTAGCAATGCCCATTCATTTCCGTGGGTCTACTCTAGATACAACCAGGAGCTTGCATCCCACCCTTTCAACATTTTTAAACATTTGGCAAGCAATACAATTAAATAATAATTTTGTTATTAAATCAGGGCATCATCGCAACAATAAATACCGGTAGCTATTTTTGAAAGCACTTGTGCATGGATCCTTGTGGCGATCACAATGAAAAGCGTCTACACACCAAAAATTACTACTACTATTACTACTACTAATAGTAATAATAAACCGCCCTTCACCTTAAGGCCCCAGGGCCAGTTGCAACAATTAAAATAGTTTTAAACAATTGTCACCGAAATAAGTTAGGTCCTAAGCACATTCTTTCCTCTTTCCGAAAAGAATCCTGAAAACTACGTAGTTTGTTGAGGGTGCTAGGAACTGTAGCCATATGAAAAGTAAAACGTGCTTTAAATATCAAGTATGTGTCTGAAGCACAGCAAATTCAGTATCTGACAACAGATAAGCAATTTGTGGCAGATCATGAGAGACCCTAGTCCTCATGAAACCCTGGAGAGCTGCTGCTGATCACAGAAAATGTTATCGGGCTAGACAGACAGTTAGCTTAAACCTCACAAATTAGAGTCTACATACAGCAGCCTCGCTTGGAACAGAAGAAGAGGCCGGTGGCACATTTAGTCAATCCTCCTGTTCTCACATTAGTCTAAAGGTTGACTGTAGGAAACAAGCAAGCGGAATTCTAAGACAAGAGCCCTTTCCCCTCCTATGGTTTCCAGCAACTGGTATTCAGAAGCATTGCTGCCTCCCAGTTGTGGAGGCAGAACATAGTCTTTATGGCTAATGGCCATCAATAGTCCTCTCCTCCATGAATTTGCTCAATCCTCTTTTAAAGCCATCCAAGCTGATGGGCACCACTGCCTCCTAAGGGAGTGAGCTCCACAATTTTGCTCTGCGCTGTTTGAAGAAATTATCCCTTTCATCTGTCCTGAACCTTCCCACCTTCAGCTTCATTTGATGTCCCTGGGTCTCAGCCTCCATGCTTTCTCCATGCCATGCGTCATTTTATAAACTGCCATGCCTCTTCCTTGCATTTTCCATAAACCCAAAAGTCTCAAATGAAGCAGCCTTTCCTCTAAGGGTAGTCATTATATCCCCTTGATATTTCGGTTGCCCTTTTCTGAATCTTTTCCAGCTCCACAATATCATTTTAGCCTTGTTTTATTTACTTGGCAAAAGGTTAGGGACTGTATTGCAGCATCTAAAATGACTCACCTGAAGCATCTTGATCCGTCATCTGTCATTAAACCAAAGTGGATTCTCTCCAAAGGGCACTTTGACTTCTTACTGTTGGAGCAAGAAGAAAAAGCACAGTTGTGCATAGTCTAAGAGGTGGTTTTGCGGGATGCCTTAATCAGGCATCCATTAATGAGACGGCTAATGCATACAATTTGCTCAGATTGCCAACTTTCTGACTGACTCCTGCTCCTGTGTTTGGTTTGGTTTGGGTTTTTTTACAGCAGCTGAACCACCACCCCACTGCAGACATTAATAGGTGGCAGTGCTTCATTCCAGCTGTGAAAAGAGTCCCTTGCTGGTTTCTGCAGAGCACATTAAAGGCATTAAAGGTTGGGGACCCTGGACTTGAACTCACATCTCCTCTGAGGGTTGGCCATGCTCTCTCCTGGGCCTGATGGGAGCTGGAGTCCAATAATATATGGGGGTGCAAAAGGCCCCCTTCCCTGATATGCAGGAAAGTATTTCAGCTACCGATACATCCTTTTTGTACCACGGATGTCAAATATTAAAGAAAATTAGGAATATGTCAGGAATTCAAAATCTGCCGTAGCATTTTAGAAAGTCAGCCAAGAACATTGGCAGAGCCTTTTCATCTCGCTTACAGGGAAGGCGGATTTGCTCTGCCACTTCCCTCACTCAGGTCCAAAAGAGAGTGGCAAAAGAAACAGTTGTGAGGGGCTTGGCATGGGTAGACAGAGGTTGTCACACCCATTCCCACCCACCATCCTACTCTCTGCTGCTTTGACCAGATGCAAATGAGACGGCCAGCCCCCCTGCCCGCTCCCCTACTGTATCTCACAGTAACATCAAATTTTAGATCTGAAAAATCATCTAGTCTAACCCCCTGCAATGCAAGAATCACAGCTAATCTTCACGCTCTGAAAACAGCAAAAAGATGACTGGAAAGAGTCATGCAAGAGTTTCTGCTTGCCATGCAAAAGAACCCATGCCTGGCATGTCCAGATGAAGCTGGAATCCTGTCCAAAATCCTGGAGAGCCACAGCCAGTCTGTGCAGACAGCACCGAGCTAAAGGAACCCATGGTCTGACTCTGACTAAAGTAGCTTCCTGATTTCCAGTTTGTTCAGAACTATGAGGACTAGAATCTTTCTTTATGCCTAGGGGAAGGGCCATAGCTCTGTGGTAGACAGCACTGTGATATATCACCTGCACTAGCTTAGTACTGTCTACACTGACTGGCAGAAGCTCTCCAGGATTTTAGGCTGGAGTCTTTTTCCCAGTCATTATGTGAAGGAGCTCAGGATTGAACCCGAGACCTCCACACTACAGTCCTCTTTTTTTTTTTTAAGAAAGCTTCCTCAAAGTTATTTTTCCTTTTTTGTGCAAATTTTTTATTAAACATTGAAATATTTACATACCAATTCCAGCTTTTAAGTTTGTTATACATTTCTCTTTAAACTTTTACTTCCCACCTTTCCTTACATGCTGTTCTCCATCCCATCCTATCTACATAATGCATTCTAATAAACATTTAACCTAAGACACATTCTTCCATTTCAAATATTATCATTTTTCTTCCACTGCTCTCAAAGTTATTTTCCTATCAAGTCAGATCATTGGCATCTCTAGCTCAGCGTTGGCAGTAAAACTCTAAGGTTTCCAGGCAAGGTACTTTAGTTATTCCCAGCCCTACCTGGAGCACCACTGCGGATTGAAGTTGGCACTTTTGGTATGGAAAACAGGTACTCAGCTGCTAAGTTATGGGTCTTCCTATAAACATAAAGTAAGCATCTAGTCCTCATGGTAACGGCCAAATGGCTGAATTAAACAGGAACACGGGAAGCCACTTTACGTTGAGTATCTGGTTCATTATTGCCCGCATTGACTGGAAAGGTTTTGGAGAAGAGGTCTCTCCTAGCCAGTCCTGGAAATGCCATCAAAAATTGAACCCGGGACCCTCTGCATGCCAAGCAGATGCTCTACCACAGAACTACAGACCTTCTCCCCGAAACCAAATAAGGTTCCAGTCCTCATTGTTCTGTATAATAAAGGGCAGAATTAAATAGCAGCATAGGAAGTGCCTTCAAACACTATGTTCTGCTCAGTTCTGTCTATCTACATTCAGCAGCAGCAGGAGCTCTCTAGGATTAACGATAGGGAATGACTCCCAGTTCTACCTGGAGTTGGGGGCTCAAACCTGGGACCTTCCGCTCTTCCACAGAGCTGTGAATAAAGTAAGATTCTAGTCCTCGTGGTACTGAAGAAAGGACTGCAATATATAAAGCCACAGGAAGCTACCTTATAGCAGAGCCAGACCACTGGCTCATATAGCTCAGGACTTCCAGCACTGACTGGCAGCAGTGGCTCTCAAGGGATTCAGGCAGCGCATGTTCCCAGCCCTGCCTGATGGTGTCATTGGGTATTGAACCTGGGTCCTTCTGCGTGAGAAGCAAATGCTCTGCCACTGAGCAACAGCCCCTTTCCTAAAAATAAAATAACACAGTCCTCATAATTGTGAATAAATGGACTGAGCTTCGCACCTGCCACTGAACGACAGCCATCCTCTGTGGCCTGGCTCCCCAAACAACCCCAAGCCTTAGAACCTCAACAGTCATACGATACCTGCCATGTGTCCTTGTCAGCTGTCTGTGCCCCTCTGCGGCGGCCAGGCAAGGTGGGCCACTCTCTGTCTCCCTAAGCAACTCCCATTGAACGCAGTTGCCACCATGGCCAGAACCACCTCTGCCAGCCTTTGCAGCTCCATGGACCTCCCCAGCCGGGGCTGCTTCTATGCTAGCTCCCTCTTTCTCTCCCTCCGTGGTCCCACTGTGATGCTGTCTGGAGACAAGAGGTCCCTCTGGATGGGGAAGGGCAGCCTTTTTATTCCCGCCTTCCTGTGCAAATCAGGACTGGGATGGACAACCTGGGCAGGAAATCCCTGCGGGTGTCACTGGCTGATAAGGAGCTTTGCAAGCAAAAAAAACACACAAGCCAAGTCAGGAGGGATCTGTAGAGAAAGAATTTAATACCTTCTCAGTCTGTAAAGGGATAAGACAGTTGAAAAGACTCCCTTGGTAGATGTTGGGCTCTCCTTCCTTAGAGGTTTGTAAACAGAGGTTGGCTGGCCATCTGTCATGGATGCTTTAGTTGACATTCCTGCACTGCAGAGGGCTGGACTAGATGAACCTTGGAGATCCCATCCAACTACACAATTCTATCATTTCATGAGGAGGCAGATGGGACTTGTGAACAGGGGGCCAAACTTTCATCCCCAGAGGGGTGGCACTTGAGGATTGGGTGAAAAGCGTCTGCCAGAGGCCATGAAGAGCTACTGCTGGTCAGAGCTGGAAGAGTCAGGCTCTTGGTCCATCCCTCTCAGTATTGTCCACACTGACTGGCAGCTCCTCTTCAAAGATCAAGACAGGGGTGTTCCTATCCCTTCCTGGAGATGCAGGGATCAAACGAGGGACCTTTGGCGTGTAAACCAGATGCTCTGCCACTGAGCTACAGCCCTTCTCACCAAAATATAGTGAGATAGCATAGTTGGTTAGAGCATGGGTGCTGATAATGCCAGAGTCATAGGTTCAAGCCCCGTATGGGATGGCTGCATATTCCTGCACTGCAGAGGGCTGAACTAGATGATCCTCAGGGTCCCTTCCAACCCTACACTTCTATGATTCTATTATTCTAGTTCTCACAGTTATGAACAAAGAGCCGCTTGTTGGTATCTCACCATGGCTGCTTTGGTTTCAACAAGCATTGGCCATGAAATCTCAAATGCTATCTATCAGGATCACAGTTATACTGCATGTTAAAAACTGAACACTATCCAGGGCCAAATTTTGAAATCAAACGCCAAATACTCAAAGCAAATACAATCACATGTCAAATATCTAACAGGCTGCTGCATCTGACAAATGCATCATTTCCTGTGGTGAGTCTGTGCTCATCTCTTTTATCCTGATATTGTCTCTCCTCAAACAGGTTCTGCAGGTTTTGGTAGTGCTTGAAAAACTTGCAGAACTGTTTTAGCGAGAGCAAATTCTAGGTGCGCCTATCGCAGGGGAAATGTTTGGGGAATATCCAAAATATTCAGAAATGAGCTGAGGCTTGGATAGCTCAGTTGGTAGAGCATGAAATTCTTAATCTCAGGGTCGAGGGTTCAAGCCCCACATGGAGCAAAAGATTCCTGCATTGCAGGGGGCTAGACTAGATGATCCAGGTGGCCCCTTCCAACTCTGTAATTCTATCACCCTGTGAACATTCAGCACCAAAATTAGAGACCTTTTTGAGGAGCAAATTCAGTGCAATTCTAAATTGGTATAAGATTATGCATGGTCTGGAGGAAGCAGATAGAGAAAACTTTCCCTCCCTGTCTCCTAACTGGTGGATATCCTATGAAGCTGGATGTTGAAAGGTTCAAGGAAGGAATGCAGAATGGAAGTCAATATAGCATATACATTTAATAAATAACCACCCCAGAAAACAAGGCACAATCCACACTGTACATTTAAAGCAAATTCCCCCTCAAAAGAACCATGGGAGCTGTCGTTTGTTAAAGTTGCTGGGAATTGTAGTTCTGCCAGGCGTAAACTATAGTTCCCAGCATTCTTATTGGGAAGCCGTGTGCTTTAAATGTATGGTGTTCACTCAGCTTGAGACAAAACTAATTCCATGTCAAAGCAGTCTTAAATTAAGGGTTGTAGCCACATTCAGTGGGAGTGTTCAGTAATATTAATGGGCCCTATGAACCAAGCCTATTCATTTAAATGGGTCTACTCTGAGTAAAAAGCAATGGGATACAACTCATTATCTGTTAAAAATTAATGGAACAAAGATTTATGCAGCAGGCCATCTGAAAAAGCCCCCACCCACTGCCCAGTGTTTGGCCATTTCTGCTTCTTAAGAGTTCCACAAGTTAATTATACATTAAAGGGGCACCACTTTGGGTGGCTTCTGAGTTTGTATGAAGGAAGGAGAAAGAGATTCCCCTAACCTAAGCGTTTCTTTATTTCTGGTGGCTGTGGGATTGTGTAATAACAGAGGAAGTGCTTTGCCCAAATGCAAGTAGAAGGCACCTACCCTTTTCCTCTGTGGGTGGTGGTGGTGTCTGTGACAGTTGTCAACACACTCATGGATAAAATTGCATAAATAGTCAGTCAGTGGCGGTGCTTTCTAAGAGCATAAGAAGAGGCTTCTGGATCAGGCCAATGGCCCATCCAGCCCAGCATCCTGTTCTCACAGTGACTAGCCAGGTGCCTTTTTTCTGGGAAACCTGCAAGAAGAGTTCAAGCATGAGCAACGAACTCTCCTCCCGTGGTTTCCAGCAACTGGTATTCAGAAGCATAGAGGCAGAGAATAGCCATCAGGGCTTGTAGCCAAAAAACACCCTGTACCACAATACCCTGCATTTAGACCCTGCTAAGCCTCATTTGAAAGATGAACAGCACCAGAAGACCCACCCAGAAGCCCACCTGTATACAACACGCCTACACCTTCTCACTTTTACGACTCCATCAAGTGTTCTTACAAAGAATAATCTCCAATTGCCTGACTTCCCATGCTAAAGGCTGCAGTCAACCTTAAAATATAGTTAAGAAAGAATAGTGAGGGTGTGTTGTTGTTGTTGCTGCTGCTGGCATGTGCCCCCCTCTCTTTGATTCTCCCTCAACCTCTTGGGTTTCAAGAGTATCACACTCACATTGTTTTAGCCACTTATCTCTCTTCATCAGGGGCGAGGGAAAGTGGGGAGGAGAAAATGCTATTATTCTGGTGAATGCACAGTCAGTATTTTTAAAAAAACAATGATTATTTTGGGGAGCGAAAACTTCCTGGTTCAGCAGGACTCTTCTGGCAGGGTTGCTTTGCAGAGTCAGGAGTTCAAACCCTGATAAGGCTTATTTTATTTCTGCATGTGTGCATTTTAGTAAAGATTCCTTTTAAAAAATTCATTTTATAATGCATATAAAACAGAGAGAACTGTTATAAGAACAGATGGAAATTAAAAGATGGAAAAACAAAATTAGAAAATAGGCGTGTGGAATTCGCCCGGTTGCACATGGAATGAAATGACAAAAGTCCGAGTAAGGACTATCAGTGTTATCAGATTATCAATTCCAGTTCCAGATTTGCCAGATTTGGGTCAAGGGTTGTCATGAAAGTGTATATGTCATAAAAGAATGCCAGGTCTCATATAGAAATGCCTGGGGCTCTATTATTCCTCAGCTCTATGATTCTGTGATATCTGAAAATATGCATAATTTTCTCCATTCTGGCTCTATTCCAGAGTGAGTGGCACTAAGCACCCAGTGTAAGATTTGGGGCTGATTTCTGCTGAGTTGCAATTACTATTTGAGCTGCCAAAATCATACATCGGATGATCAAAATCTTCTTGACAACTTAGCTACAACATGTCTACTTTGGCATCATCAGAAATATTCAGTGATATTAATTACGGACAACGAACAATAGCTTCTTTAATAATAGTACCCTTAAGAGTAAATACTTTATTATTAAGAGCATAATAATAATATTCAGGATTTAGGTACCAGTTTGGGGAATCCATGGCTCTCCAGATGCTGTGGACAACTCCCATCAAAGGAGGCTGCCTTATACATTGGTCACAGCATCACTGAATACTAGAGGTGAAAGTGACCCTGAAGCTCATCTGTTCCAACCCCCTGCAATGCAGGTCCACTGAGCACCTCAATGCTGCCTACAATGACTTGCACCTGGAGGTGCTGTTGAGGATTGAATCTGGGACCTTCTGCATGCAAAGCAGGTGCTCTGACCCTGTGCTATGACTCCCCTGCTCCCCCAAGTATAATAAGGTTCTATTCCTCATAGTTCTGAATAAAGGGATGAATTGAAGAGGAGCACAAGAAACTGGATTATACAGAGTCAGACCCTTGGCCCACCTAGCTGAGTATTGTCTACGTTGTCCGGTAGCAGTAATGTTAATTTTGGACAAGAAACAATGGTGTCTTTAATTTATCATACCTTTCAAAATTAAATCTCAAAAATCTTGCTAAGGATTATTTTTATTATGCTGGAAGCCACAAGGATTTTGTTGCTTTAGAGTTATTCAAGGCCTTTCCCCCTTCAAAAAAAAAATATGCAAAGGGATGAAGATTTGCAATGAGGGATTTCAGCTCATTCCGTTCCTGCCCCTTGCTAGTTTGCACCCTCGACTACAGCTCGAATAACAGTTCACGTACCCCTAGAAATATCTGTTTCTGCCCTCTGTCAGGAAACAGGAAGTGGATGTGAGAAAGAGATTTGGAAGTCTGCTTGGGAGAACAATTAGAATCTCAACAGAGAGGAAATGGGAACTGCGTCAGGAGTAAAAAATCACTTTGTTGGTCAGGGAAGAGAGAATGACCTTTGCAGTCCAGAGCCCGTGAGGCTGATGGAGCCCCTGCACAAATATATAGCCTTAAAAGGCCTTTTTCCTGGAGTGGGGGGTGGGGGCTGAGCAACAGGACCCACCACTCTGGGAGAGGCACAGTCCTCACTACCTGAAATTCAACAACGACAAAACATTGTTTCATCTTATCTTTAAAATTAGACTTCTAGAAAGCTGTCAAGGCAATAAATGACCATTTGCTACAAAAATGCCACCTCTAAAAACAACAACTGGATGATGGTAGCTCAGAGGCAGAGCATCTGCTCTGAGTGCAGAAGGTCCCAGGTTGAATCCCCAGCAGCATCTCCAGACAGGGCTGAGAGAGATTAATGCGCAAAACCCTGGAAAGCCACTGCTGCCAGTCAGTGTAGACAATGCTGAGCTAAATGGACCAAGCACCTGTCTCTGAATGAGGCAGCTTCCTATGTGCCCCTTTAACCCAGGCTTTTCTTCAGAACCATGAGGACTGGAACCTCACTTTGATTTTAGGGGAGGGCTTGCGGTTCAGTGGCAGAGCACCTGTTTTGCATGCAGAAGGCCCCACCTTCATTAGCTGGCATCTCCAAGTGGGGCTGGGGAAAACCCCGGAATCTGAAGCCCTGGAGAGCAACTGCTGGGCAGCATAAACAATACTGAGCTGGACCAGCCATGTATAAGGCATACTTGGTATAAGGCTGCTTGCTCTGTTCTTATGAGTGAAGGTCAGAGCTTTGCATGCAGAAGGTCCCATGTTCACTCCCTAACAGCATCTTCAGGTAGGGCTGAGAATGACCTGAAATCTTGGAGAACCACTGCTGCCAGTCAGTGTAGGCAATACAGAGCTAGATGGGCCACAATGGCCTGGCTCAGAATATGACCCCTTCCTCCACTCCAGTGTTCAATATGTAGTACAGAAATGAGTCTGAAGGGAGAGGCAATGCCCCCTCTCAAAGATTTCCAACTCCTCCATTCTTTACCATTCATTTCATACAAACATAGAAACCAGGGGCCATCAACCCCCTGCAATGCAGGAATCACAGCTAATTTCACAACAAGAACAATTTACAGGGGAGCAAGGATTTGATCTCTGTGATTTAGGACCTTAATAGCCTTTGTCATCCCTTTACATACATACATATATATATATATATATATATATATATATATATATATATGGAGTCATAGAATCCTAGAGTTGGAAGGGACCCTGACAGGGACGCGGACTTATAAAAAATATTGGGGGGGCCCGGGAAAGCTCATGAATAATAAATAAGCTCATGAATATGCAAATAAAGTGGCGCCGCCTCCTCGTGAGCGAATAGGGGAGAGCGTGCTGCGCCTATTAATCAGCTCCAAAGGAAATTGGGTGGAGCTTTTGCTCGTGAGGGAGGGCAGGAGGCATGCAGCCCGCCCCTCCCTGTGCATTTTGGGCTGGGGGAGGGGCGGCGATGGCGCTCTGCTGGAGGGGCGCCGGAGATTATTGGGGGGGCGGAGCCCCCCCAAACGAATTTTTGAGGGGGCTCGGGCCCCCTCAAGCCCCATGGAGTCGGCGCCTATGGACCCTGAGGGTCATGTGGTCCAACCCCCTGCAATTCAGGAATATCATTTGATTTTGTGTTTTTAATGCATTACCGGTATATATTTGGTGTTAGCTGCCCTGAGCCCGGTCTTGGCCGGGGAGGGTGGGGTATTATTATTATTATTATTATTATTATTATTATTCACCTGCCCCATAGAGGGATCAAACCTGCCACCTTGGCATTATCACCACCACATTCTAACCAACTGAGCTATCCA